CAAGGCCTAACCACTAGTCCTCCAGGTACCCATAAGGACAGGATCATAGTAATAAATATTTATATAAGAGAATCAAGCTAGATATAAAGTCAAACAGGATTGTTCCTATTCCTTCAGGAAGTTTTATGAATATGTTGGTGTTGGATTTCACAATATGTTGTTGCACTATGTAAAGGGGGCTGGAGCTGATTTAATTGCCACCCATTGTTTGAGAAATCCAGCTGGTGAAAACATAAACCTGGAGGCAGAGTGAGAAGATGTTTCAAGATTATTCATGTAACAAAAATATTTGTTGTACATGCTATAGATTATATCAGATCACATTGCAACAGATAGCACTTGATTTTACCTTGACATAGACACCAAGGCAATTCTCAGCACAGCCGTAGTCCCAAGACAGAATACCCTGCAGCTCACCATTGCACACCAGAGAGCCACCAGAGTCACCCTGAATCAAAGAGTGATAGTTTAATTGCTTATAAGGCCTTTAAAGAGAGATCATTTTAATACTGTAGTATATCATTTTACCCGGCAGTCCCTTCCTCCTTCCAGGAAACCAGCACAGAACACGGTATTAGTGATGATACCAGCGTAGCAATTACAATCCCAGTCAGAGAGAATAGGGACCTCCAGACACTGCAGCTTGTTGCGATCAGCAGCTACATAGAGATGACACAAATAAGGCAATATTAGAAAAGATCAGTAAAACAGTGCTATCATACTATATATACTGTAATCTGATACACAAATACGATGCAATTAGGAAAGAAGTATTGAAAATTTGCCTTCAGAGCAATGAAAACTAGCCACCGGTCAGTGGCTCTTGTAATAATTCCAAACATTGTTAATGCATTCCAAACATTAATGCATTTTAGGTGTAAATCTCCCACCTTTTGTACCTTTAATTTGTGGTTTAACATCTACGTATGTCTGTGTTTTTCACAAGCAGATAAATTGCACAAGGTTACTGAACTTATACTGTACTCACTTGTGCTCAAGGTCTTTCCCCATCCAGAGACTGCGCACTAGGTTCCTGCAGGGGGGAAGCTCTTAGGCAGTGCAACAGGCTGCACATAGTTGTTCAGCGTAGCAGGTTGACTTAGCTTGATGAGCATGATGTTGCTGTCAAAGGTCCAGGAGTCATAGTTGGGATGGCGGAGGACACG